CTGGGGCGGAAAAGGGACATTAACCAACTGCGGATGGGAAATGAACCAGGAAGAAAACACGCACTTTGGTTAACAGCAACCTATCCGGATTGGCTCGTTAATTATAAAATGCATCCTGCTCTGGTAAGACAGGAGCAGGGCAGATGGGCTACGGTGCAGCTGGAATATTCTGGAATATCTTCATAACTCTGTAAACCTCACGCTGCTCTGACAGAGTCACTGCCCTGTGTAGGCAATGAAGGGACAGGCCCAAGGCTCATGCTGCAGGTGACAGTTTGATGGGATGAGGCTGCTGCTGACCCGTCCCCAGCCGGCCCTCTGAGGAGACACTCCTGACCACGGGGCCTTTGCTCATGACCGTGTGTGCACGTTGTGACATGGGTCGCTATGAGAAGCACCAGATTGACCTCCTCTCCCCCTGGCCAGCAGCCCTGGCGGATGTCTCAATGCCAAGGGCCCCTCCTGCGGGCACCCATGCCTGTGCCCACCCCAATCCCTTGCTTGCCTGACAGGGGTCCAACCTCCCTGGTCCCATGCACCTTAGGAGTCACCTATGACCCTTGCTGAAACAGGACCCTGAACTAACTGGATGTTCCACCCGAGCTCCCGTTTCCAGATGGATCTCTCGGGACCAGGCAGCACATCTGACCAGCCCAGCGCACCCCAGACCCCCAGCCCGCGAGCGGCACAGTCTTCCCGCAGACTTCCAGGCGCCTCCCACCCTCTGCCTGCTGACATTTACGAGGTTCCAGAACCGCGTCTGCTCAGACTGCCCCCCTCCCGTTTACCCAATGCAATGATTTCTGGAGAATTCCATTCCGGAGTTTGTGCAGGGGCTACGGGAGCTGGGCTGCGGTGACACGCGGTGGGGCCGGGCACCTCTCGGCACAGGTGACAAACAGGAGCCCGACCGGGGGATGAGCCGTCACCGCCCCGGAAACTAACCTCGCAGCTGGCTCTCCCGAGTGCAGTCCGGACCCATCGCAGGTGCCCGGCGAAACGCACCCCGCCCGTGAAAATTCCACTCTTACTCCTCCATACATTTCAGGAGTTGAAAGACGGCTCCTGGCTTTAATACCCCGCGGCTGTCATGCCCGGGATTCCTGCCGGCTCCGGAGCACGGCGGGACATAAAAGCACTACGCTAAGTTTTGCTCAGATTATTACTTTGGTTTCCTTCCTCAGGGCTTAGAATGCCATGAACCTTATCCCAGAGGTTCTAACCAAAGCAGGAGATGCGCCCAGGACCCCAGTGGGCGAGGCTTTATGTCTTCACAGGACTGTTGCCGTGACGCAGGAACATTTCCACTAGACGAGGCACCCGACGGTTGGCTGTAATGCCAGCTGCTGTTCTCATGAGTGGGCCACTGCACGGAGATTTCGTCCTTTCCTGTGATCTCTCCAGCCAGAGGGGGGCTTCCCCAACCTCTGGCCCCCGCGTGCAGCCCAGATGCGTCCAAGAACTACACGTGGCCCATGTCTGAACATGGTGTTTCCTGCACATGGGAAGCAAGCTGCTTTCACCTCTCTGCACAGGGGAGGGTGAGGAAGACTGCTTTCTCGCCAGGTGGCTTTCAAGGTCACCCAGCTCAGCGTGGAGTTGCTGGAACACCAGAAGAGGCCACAGGGGTCAGAGCCAATGAGGACAACAGTGTGGCGTCTAGGGTAAGAGGGGACATGAGGCAGCACAAAGAGGGCCAGCTTCACTGGATGCACGAGGATTGAGGGAAACGAGGCTTCCCGTGCCTTTGCCACCTCACTCGCCTGTAATCATGTGACTACAGCTGCATCATTAAGTGCCATGGTCACACTTGGGGTGACTGACTGTGCCGGTTTGTCTAGGACTAAGGGGATTCCCGAACGTGAGCCATCCCAGGAGAATCGGGACAGGTTGGTCACATGACCTGTTGTCTGAAGGCAGCCCGTGACAGCCATCCCGAGTCTTCCCTGTGGCTTTCAGACAAGGAGAAAACAACACCTGGAGTTTTTGCTGTACCACTAACATGACAGGACCTTTCCAGAGACCCCACTGTGGACGACACACCACACGTGAGACACGAAACACCGCAGTGGGTGCTCTGATGTCCCCGCCCCGTAGGTACCGTCATCGATGGAACACCTCAGGCCACCGTGTCTCCCCGACTCTCCACGGCCAGGGCACCTCCCCGGGCGGCCCCCCCGCAGGACTCGCCTCCCGCGGTCACTGTCGCACACAGGCAGCTCTCTCAGAAGGGTCAAGGCTTCTCAGCATGCTGGCTTCGGGCGGGAGGACAAGTGGTCCCCGATGCTCCACGTTGCCCACAAATGTTTGTAGCAGCTTTTCTGACAACTGCTGAGACCTGGAAGCAGCCGGATGTCCTGCAGCCGGTGGACGGACAAATAAACCGGGGTCCATCCAGACAGTGGGACATGGCTCAGCACTACCGAGAAGGGAGCTCCCGGACCGAAAAGTCATGGAGGAAACACAGCATCTTCCTCAGTGAAAGAAGCTGATTTGAAAAGGCCACATACCGTATGGTTTCGACGCTACAATGTTCTGGAAAAAAGCAAAACCGTGGAGACAGTGAAGAGATCAGCGCTGCCATGTGTTAGCAGGGCTGGAGGGTGAACGGGTAAGCACAGACGACGTCAAGGGCAGAGAGGCTGCTCTGTGTCGCTGTGGTGAGGGACAGCTGTCGTGGCCGTTGGTTGAAATGCAGGATGCTGGGAACAGAGGGGCTGGAGGTTACCAGGGACTCCCACAGAGCCTCCAGCTTTCCACTCACTTCCTTGTAAACCTAAACCTGCTCTAACAAATAAAGTCCACTAATTAAAAAAAAAAAAAAATGGGCAAAGAGGAGACAGGGAAGCTTCTGCTTTCTCGGGGAGCGTTAGGCACGACCAGGACAGATCTGCGCGTGGTCCATGATGATCTGGCGGCTGCCACGTGTCGGCGTCTCTGCTTGACATGTTACACTTGAAAATAAATAACCGTTTCTAGTCTATCTGTCCAGACAAGAAAATAATTAGGAAAACACACACAACACCCAGCGGGACACAGTGCTCAATGGCGCAAGCTGCTGGCCAAGAGTGGAGATGGGGGCCACCGGAGAGAAAGAAGCCGGCCCGGGCTGCCAGTGGTGTCAAGCTGCAGGCAGGGCCATGGGAGACGGTGCGGACCTCTGTCTGGAAATAACTCGGGGTCTGTGCTGTGCGGTTCTAGAAGCTAGGAGAGGGTCTGCCCTGCAGGATGTGTCGCTACAAGCCCAGAATCTGGAAGATGCCAGTTCCAGGAAATGAGGCCACGGAAAGGGGGTCATGTGGGAAGAAGAGCAGCCTGCGGCAGACCCCTGGGCTCCCTGACTGCCTGCCCTCCCTCGTGGAATCATCTGGAAACAGCCAGGGATGAGGCCAGGCTGGTGGACATCCAGGTAAAAGGCTGGCCCAAGGAGGGAACCACAGACACTTCACTTCTCTACGTGTGCCTTCCACGTTTTACCTCCATGGTCCAGCCACGTGTGCCATCCAAACCCCCACCCCCCAAGTCCCATCTTCTGGCATCTCAGGTACCACAGCTGTGGTCAGAAGTTTAATTGAGGAGACAGACAAGTCAGCAGTGATCACGGATCACAGCACTGCAGCCTGGGCTGGGCGGGGACGGGCACCGCCAGATGGGCCCAGGGGGGTCTTGCCCCAGCTGCAGGGGTCAGAGGAGCCCCGAGCGTTGATGAGAATTCTCCATCCTTGAGCTGACATCTGCACCTGCAGTGGGCTCGGTACCTGAGCCACAGGGCAGGACACATGTAGGTAACAGTGGCCCAGGTGGAGGGCTGGCCGGTCCCCAGTGGCGGGGAAAGGGACCCTGCAGGGACGAGTCCAGGAGGAACACTACCAACCAACAGCGACAAATGCCCCCAGATGCCACGAAGTCTGTCTGAGCCCTCTCTCGGCCAGCCCAGCTCAGCGTGTCCCACTGCACAGGCTCTCACCCAGTGATTGTGCTCTGCTCCAGGGGACACGGGCCAGTGTCTGCACACAGCCTGGTTGTCACAGCCTGGACTGCGACTGGGGCGGAGGCCGGCGAGGCTGCAAACATCCCACAGCCCAGGACACAGCCTCCCCCACAAACAGCCATCCGGGCCCACAAAGGAGTTTGATCCCACCACAAAAAGGAAGGCAATGCAGGAGGACAGCATGGATGGGCCTTGAGGGCACCGTGCTACGTGAACGACGTCGGGTACCGTACGATGCCACTTCCACGCCAAAACTGAAAGTCCCCGCCCCCAAACAGAGCAGAGTGCCAGCTGCCAGAGGCAGGTGGGGATGGCACAGGTGGCCAATGGTAGGAATCCCCAGTTACGAGCTGTAGGAGTCCTGGTAGAGCACAGGACGACAGCTAATGAGTTCTCTGTACTCAGAACAGTAACATGTCCTCTGTACCCCATAACAAGTTAACCAGACCTGTGGTCCTCAGGACACAATGTATCCAATTATCCAATCCAGAGCCTAGCCTGAAACTAACAAGATTAGGGATGCAGGGCATCTCAATAATGGGGGGGCGGGGCAGAGAGATGAAATAGAGGTCATTGCTCATTTGCAATTGTTTAAAGAAGGAGAAACTGTCCAGCCCCTCAGCCACAGCGTAGAATCTGGGAACCCCCAGGCTCTTCGGACCCACAAAAGATGAGCAGCCCACACGCCAGCAGGGGAGTGAGGTGTGCACGTGTAAGTGTGTCTCCCACAGTGGGCACACAACGGGTCCACGCGCCTTACCATCCTTCCTTCATTCACTCTCCCAACAGCTGTGCACGAGCGCCTACTATGTGCCAGGCTCCGTGCTCGCTACACAGCTCAGCAGGCCCTTCTCATCTGGAACTTAAGCGGGAGCGAGAAAGTACTTTCGAAAACCACGTACAGTGTAGCTGTTGCCCGTGCGTGTGGGATCTGATAACAGAGGCACGTTCTTGGACTGAGTCCACGCTTCCGTGAGGCTTACCGACGTCCTCTCCACCCGGGACCTACCTCCCGTGTCCAGGTCATGGAAATTCGGATCCAGGCCTCGTTCCAGCATTTTGACGATCTTCTCCACCGAACGGTGCTGAATGTGGTCCATGAATTTTTTCAGATTGGTCTAAGGGGAAAAATCAACAAACAGAAATGTCTTCCGGGCCCCGGAAGCATCCTTCCAGGGTGCATTCTGGCCTCCTCTGTGGAAAAGGAGCTGTCCCTTGCACGGGACGCTACAGACCCACCCGGCAGAGGCTCGCGGTGTCTGGAACCCCAAGCGCCAAGCATGGAGCCCAGCATGGGGCAGATGCAAGCAGCCTGCCGGGATGAAAGTTCTAGAAATCTCTCGCCTTTCATGTCCATGCCAAGAGCCACAGGACCTTCCTTCGTGGATGAAAGGATGAGCCACGGGGGCCACTCTGGAAAACTAGCTTCTAGGATCTACCCCCGAGCTTCAGAGTCCCTCTCCTGGGAGCGAGGCCCCAGCACCAACATTTGTGCTTTCAACAGCCGCAGTGGAGGGCAGAGAGGGCAGCCCCTCACTTAGCTAATCCACTTTTCGGTGAACCTTTGACTACGTGGACAGACACAGGGATGTCTCGCCATGAAGCAATTCAAGGTGAAAAGAGATAATCTCTTCTCATGGGGTCAGAATGACCTGGGGGTCAAGCCTGGTGGGGAGGGACGTTTCCCCAGCTTAGCCTGGTCTCATTTGTAACAGAAACCATGATTTCCTGCCACGGAGCAGATGGCCCGGTATCCAATCTGCCTCCACCTGAACAGGTGATCTCCTGTCGCTGGCCCGAGTCTGCACGCCCCCTGCACGCAGCTCCCATGACACGGCGCAGCCGTGTGGGCTCTGGGGCCAGGCTGGATCTCCACCCGCACACTCTACCTACATCCCGGAGCCAAAATTAACAAATGTCCAAAGACAGATACACTTGTGCTCACTTAATGTTTCCACTGCTATGTAGTAATTGCTTTTTTTTTTTAAATCCAAAAAGCACATTTTTATGTATGCATCAGAAGGTCATCAAAAAAAAAACTAGAAGCTTGCAGACCCTGGGGCTGAAAGGCCACCCTTCCGGCGGATTCCAGGGCTGGGCAGGGAGGTGCATGAGGACCCGGACCATTAGCTGGGCCACAAAGCTGTCAGGGCTCAGAGGATGGTGGGGACACGTCAGGGGGAGAGCCAGGCAGAAGGGCCACCACCAGCCACGTCCGGACACTGTGAGCACATCAGTAAGTAATGGTGCGCCACAACCGGTTGAGCACAGTATAAATCCCCATATCTGTTGTGCTACAAATGGGGGATGGAACAAGAGCCAGGGGAGCCCATCGGCTGCAGGTGCCCACGGAGCTCCCAGCACCATGTAAGCTCGCCTGGGCGGCATGAGGGTGGAACACAGGCGGTGTCCAGGCACGTCCCGACGTCCTGGCGCATCTCTTCCTGTGTGCTCCACCCTCGAGCACCCCCAGACACCGGGCATCTTCCTCGCCACGAAGGTGGGTGAGGTCACACTTGAGCCCCTGCACCCTGCGGACATGCACAGCAGCCCCGACAAAGGGGCAGGGGTCCCCGCCGCGAGCCCAGCCAGGCTCCTGACCTCAGCCCCCTCTTCCACACCCCTGCTGGCCACAGGCCAGTCTCACCTCTGTGCGGTTGGGGTCAAGCCCTTTAATTTGCTCTGTGGTCACTGTGTCCTCTCCGTCAGCAGTGGGGACTCAGAGAGAGGGGCTTCCCCTCCTCCCAGAAACACTCAGGGGGGACGTGCATTGAATGGTGACCCACCTGACGCTGTCCCCTTGTGACTTGTCACCCAGCACAGTTTTGTCACAAGGACAGAACGGCTGTGTTCGGGGACCCTGGTGGATGCCCTTCTGGGCACACAGGAGGGCGTGTTCACTCACGTGGTTTAGTCAGGCCCACATGGGCCACACACGCCCGGGCAAGGCGGGGACGTTCGCCACCAGGTGCGTGTCCGATCCCAGCCTGCTCCAGAGCCCCGCCCTTGCGGAAACTTCATAGTCTCCAGCCGGAGCTCCCACCAGCTTTGTGGAGCACCGCTGCCCCCTAGCAGCAGGGCGGGCCTTGGCGTGTGAGCGGGAGAAGCCCCCCAGGGCACCTGCACATCCCGGCCCCGCCCACTGGCAGCTGCAGTGGAGGAGGCTTCCCAGGAAGAGGAACCTGCGGCCCAAGGAGCGCCCCGATCTGCAGAGGCAGTAATACCACGTGTGAGACGCGAGGCCACCATGCGCGTGCCAGCCACCCCCGCCTACCTTCGTGTGCAGCTTGGCCAACTGCTTCTCGTCCAGGTTGGATTGCTTATACACGCGCTTCTTGTATCGGAACTGCACAGAAACGGAAACAGGAGAAGAGGGGGCGCGTGAATACGTCACAAGGCGTTCCAAGGAAACACAGCCTCATGCTGAGCGGGAGGCTGGCGCCCCTGGCAGCAAACTCCTCCCGTGTCGGGTGAACCGACCGCCTTCCTACCACAGACCCCTGACGTCACAGGAATCAGACCTGCGAAGGTCCGTGGACACGTGGCTGGAAAGACACGAGAGCAACTGGGGGCATGGAGGCGTCCTAGCCTCCCACGGAGAAGCCATGGCCGGTGTGCATCTCGTGGGCGGCGATCGTCATCCTCACGGCCATGCGCGTGGTCCCGTCAACAAACCAGGACGTGTCTTCCACACCCAGCCCTCGGAAGCCCGGCCTGGCAAAGCCGGTGTCCCCGCTGCCCTCCCGGGACTCTGGGTGACGTTTGTTCCCTCCAATCCAGCACCTCCTCGGAGCCGGACACGAAGTAGTTCGCTCTGACACGGTCAGCGCCCAAGAGGAACGTCCGGGTGTCAGTGTGCCTGGAAGCCCAGCACCCCCACCTCGTGCCCGGCCCAGGGGCCCCCACCCCTTTGAGGGCCAATGTGCGGGAGCCGCGACGGAAGGCTGGGGAGGGCCAGCAGCTAGGATTCCCGGGGGAGGCACCTGCTCCAAGCCCAGCCCCACCACCGTCCCGCCAGCTGTGGCCGGACACCTTCCCCGTCTGGGACTGGCCTCCTGATCTGTGGGCGGGGAGGCCTGAGGATGGCCCAGGGGCATCCTGACAGACACCAGCTGCTGGAGACTGGACCCCTCCCTCCACGTCCCTCAGCCCCAAGAGTCTGAACGAGCCCAGAGAGAGGGACATGAGGGTGCAGGGCAGCAGGGGACCTATCCTGGCACTGTCTCATCTCACATCCCGGTCCCAAAGCTGCCGCCTTACTCTCCTCTCCTCTCCCCTGCACGTAAAAACAGCAGGTCCACCTCTCCTCTCCCCTGCACGTAAAAACAGCGTGTGCACCACACACAAAATTCCCTGGTCACACAGACTGAAACTTGGTCTTTTTTTTTTCTTTTTTAAGGACCAATAGAAGCCTGTAGCGAAATCGGAAAGTCCTGTGACACTCAGGTGGCTCCCAGTTTCAGGACAACGTGTGCTGACCACAGCCTGCAGGTGTCCCTGGTCCTGAATGGAACTAGCAGGTGGGGACCGAGACCCATTTTAGGATCTGTCACCGGTTCTAGATTCCAGCAGGACAGCGTGTTCTGTGTGCCTGGTGCCCTGGGCCGGGGCAAGCCCCCTGCCATCCCCCAGCAGAACTCTGAGATTTCAGAACCCACTGAGAGAGATATCGGGAGAGGCGGGCGCTCACTAGCTGACAAGGTTAACGGAACTCGAGTCACGGGGACTTCTGGTTATAAAAATACACTCGGGCTGGGGCGCCGGGGTGGCTCATGGGCTAAGCGTCTGTTTTGGCTCAGGTCACGACCCCAGGGTCCTGGGATCGAGTCCCATGTCAGGCTCCTTGCTCAGCAGGAAGCCTGCTTCTCCCTCTCCCTCTGCCTCTCCCTCTCTCTCTGTCTCTCATGAATAACTAAATAAAATCTTTAAAAAAAAAAAAAAAAAAAAAAACTAGGGCTGCTACCATCTCTTGGCAGGACAGGAAGTGCTCAGAGGAATATGTCCATTTCCAGAGTCACCAGCATTTCCAGCTCGTGGCCAAAGAGGGATGCAGCCTCTGGACGGCAAAGCCCTTCCTGCTGTTTCTCAAGCAGCCAAGCATACGCCCCAGAAATCCTCGGCGACAAAGAGCTCACAGCCACGCCCGCCCGACATGGGGAGCGCCAGGCCCGTCTCACTCCGCACCGAGGATGCAGGGGCGGGACTGAGGCTCCAGGAGATGGAAACATGGAGGTGGGACAACTCTCTCACGGCAAGGAGACCGCTGGCTCGCACAAGGAGTGCTCGCTGGAGCCTTGGGCCCCCTGGGCAGGCACGATCCATGTTCCCCCACTTTGAAAGCTGGGGCCCAGAGAGGCTGGGTGGCGGCTTGGGTGCACAGCTCCCAGGAATGGACCAAGCCCCCCATGGGGCAATGCACACGCAGGAGCAGAGACGCTCCCCCCCCAGGCCTCTTCCTTCAGCTCCCGTGACACGAGTCCCAGACGGGACATGGGGGAGGGGAGTGTATGTGTGCGCCTGCCGTTCTACAAACAGCACAACGCCCTGCCCAGCTTACTCTGCATTCCCAAACCCTCTCATTCGGTTCTCGGGAGTGAGCGGGGGACCGCCAGATTCGCCGCCCTCAACAGCCTCTTGGATCAAGAGTAGACCCTGGACGTCCTGGTCTTCTCGCTGGGTTTTCCTGGAAACCACCAGTCCCCGAAATGAACCGCTCGTTCACTGCTTCTGGTCTGTCACCTCCAACTCGGGTGTCAGCCCCATCAGACCAGACCCTGACGGTCTCGGGAACATGGTGAACGTGCCTAGAAAGCGTCTGGTACTTAGTAGGCCCCCAGTAAGGGATTTTTTCCAATGGATACCCATTTTACAGATGAGCAAACTGAGGTCAGAACAGGGAACCACAGGAAGCCAAGTGGCGCCCCAAATTTCCCTCCACCAAAACACCCCCCTACAGTCTGACACAGGCTCTGTCTAAATGGGGTCTTCATAACCTCACCCTCGAAGTCACTCTTGGGCTTTGAAACGTGCGGATGAGGTCCGGCCTTGGTCCATGACCTCTCCGACTTCAGGACGGTCTCATCACCGTGAATGTGATAGAACACACTCAGGCTGCTGGAGGGCCGGCTACGCTTCCACACGCGCAGCCTCTCCCTGTCTGACTGGGCTGAGAGGAGTGTCAACGCCCGCCGCGCCCAGTCCCACTGCGCAACAGGAAGAATGCCGCTTGCCTCACTGTCTCACTCATCACATGAAAAGACCGTGTGTAAACCTGGGGATGGGGCTGGCCAGGGGTCAGAGCGGCAGCAGCCGGCGTCACTCCACGCACGGAGGGCGTCCGGGTGCCCAGCTCACGCACTGCTGTGTCATGCGGCGGGTCCACGGCTGCGGCAGCTCCAGGCCCCCTGGTCATTCCCTGGCAAGAGGCTGGACATCATGCTTCGGGTCACTGCGGGACAGTCCCTGGCCACCGCGCACCCCAGGCAGGAAGACCGAGTCGGGGAGACGGAAGCAAGCCCCATCCTGCACCCCCGGCCCCGCCGGTCCCGGCAACGCGAGCCTGAGTCAGACCCCTCGTGCGTGCGCCCCAAGATCTCTCGCTGACACTCATCCAGTCCACAGTACGGAAGCAAAGGGCTCGAAAACGGCCCCGTTGTCTGAAACTCCCAAAGTTCAGGGCCCCCATAAGACCCCAAGCCCGCTTTTCATGTGAGGGTCATTCCCCATCCAAATCAAGTTTGGAGCGTCGTGACAGTCCTCCCCACACCCCAGGCCCCGCGCCCGGGCCACGAGGCAGCAGCCGGCACCTCCAGGGAGGGGACGCCCTTGCCCACGGGCTGAGGGTACTCGCGTAGCAGCCGCTCCTCGTCCAGGAACTTCCCGTCGCGCCCGTTGCTGGCCGGCTGGAACAGCCCGTAGTTCAGCACGTCCTTCAGGCTCTGGGTCAGGGAGCACAGAATCCGCTGCTTGGCGACCCACACGGTGGCGTCCGGGTTAAACCGGATGCACTTCTGCGGGGAGGGACAGAGACCCCGGTCAGTGGCGCAGCCCACCCCCACCCTGCCACAGACATCCAGGTGTTGCCGTCTAGGTCCTCTGAGTGGCAGACACCTCGCCCCCCCGGCGTTCCGGGATGTCGCTAGGACGGAGACCTTGAGTAAATACAAAAGGACAAGGGCGAGGATGGAACCGTGGGCTTCGGGGGCCTTGGCTCAGGTGCCCGTGGCCCCTGTGGGATTTTTCTGGTCACCAACACCACCTACTGCCTTGGGCCACTCCCACCCCCGTGTGGAGCTTCTCCAATCCCAGGCCTTGTGGCCACAGTGCTGGCCCCTGGCCCCTGCAGCAGGTCTGGGTTGGGACACCAATCCACACTTCTCCAACGCCGACCCCACCCCTCCCAAAGCAGAGAGGAAGGCAACAGTGAAACACAGTTTGATTTTAAAATCCTGTTTTTTTAAAACTTCGGTAGCATAGATGGTGCCTGCAAATCCGTTGCAAACACTTTCCCGAAAAACCTAGCAGGGTGGCTGAGAACCCAAAGGCCTCGCCCTGGCCCCACTCCCAGGTCCCTTCTGGGAGATTCCCCCAATAAGCTTCCAAATACCAAGGCCAGGTCCCATCTGCTTCTAACAGAGACGTCGCGATTTCTATTGAATTAAAATGACGTTCTACTGAACGGCCACCAGCAGGAGCTCAAGAACTCACTTTATCACTGCAGAAACCTTCAGAAAGGACCGGAGGCTGGGACCCACCGTCTCCTGGGGGTCCTGCGTGCCCGGGATGCAGAGGCCCTTCTCCGTGGGTCTGGAGTCTGGGCCCCCGGGAGACCCGCCGAGCCAGCTGCTCCCAACAATGAGGAACGTTCAGCAGGCAGCCCCGAATCCCACAGTCCCGGAAACCTGACCCAGGAGGCATGAATGCTCTGTCTGTCCCTTGCCAGTGTCAAAGGCTGAATTCAAGGGTAACCTCGGAGCTCCTCCTGGGGCTACCAGGCTGGTGGGGCCCGGCTGCTCACGTCAGAGACACTGCAGGACGCCCGCAGCCCCGCCCAGCCTTGGCTGAGTGAAGAGAGTATCTGGAAACTTCAGCACAACAAACTGTATCTGTCCGATGTGACCAGGTGGGACTGTGGATAACTCGCCACTTCCTGTCCCCGCTGGCCTCGGGTTCCAACCACACACACCCCCAGCTCAAGCTCCAGCACCCTAGGAAGGCCTGGGGCCCCACATGGCAGCCACACCCAAGGGGTTTCCAGCAGGTGAGGGTAGAGCGGAGCACAGACTGGGACCTGTTCCCAAGGGACCCATGTGATCGCAGGTGATCACGGGTGACCCCAGAGTGCCCACTCCACTGTGGGCAGAGCCGGGGATGCAGAGTCTGTGCCCTGGGTGGGCTCGCCCTGCACAACCAGCGGTCCTGCTCTAAGAAACGTCAAGAAGGCCCCGTGGCAGGTGGAGCACTGACAGTACCTACCACAAGTGACCTTCCTGCAGCCCACTCCGACCCGATGCGGTCAGGAGAGCTGTGCCACGTTCCGGTCTCCCTACAGCGCGTGACATGGCTATTCCGCATAGTCTGTTACGGGTGTGCAAGAGCACTCACAGAGCACCAGGAGCACTGCAGGGATGGCCTGGGTGGCAGGAACCCCAGAACCCAGCCACTGCCACCACAGGGCTGCTTGAGAGAACACCTTTGCTCCTCTAGCTTCTGCATAAAGGGTCCTCTACCAGCACCAGGGCAGGCATGGGTGGGGACACAGGAGATGACAGAGACAGGGTCTTGCCCCTTAAGGAGCTCAGAGCCTGGTTGGAGAAGACACTAATGGTGATAGTGGTGATGATGATGGTGATGGCGGTGGCTGATGATGGTGATGGCGGTGGTGATGGCGGTGGATGGTGATGGCGGTGGTGACGGCACACTGGTGATGGCAACAATGGTGATGATGACAATGACGACAGTGATAATGGTGGTGAGGATGGTGATGATGATACAGTGTGGCTAAGGTTTACTGAATCCTCATATGCCAAGAACTACGCTAACTGTATTTAACTTCACCACAACCGTGAGCAAACAGTATTGTCATTACTACTGTTGCTGTAGAAGCAATTATAATTATACAATTATGTATTTATATGTGATCAATACAATGCATGTAATAGATATTTATCTTTAACAAATATGATTATTACGATCAATATAAAAACAATCACTATTATTATTATTCCCAGATGGGGAAGCAGAGCCTCAGACTCTCACGAAATGACCCCAAAGCCACATGTCTGGAAAGTGGTCCAGGTTCAGTGTGAACCCAAGTCGAGTAGGCTCCTGAGTCCTCATGGCTTAACAGATGTGTTACTTGCTCTCCATACACACCTGGCCACCCTCAGGTTCTAGAACACTTGACCGGCCCTGAGAAAACCGAGGATGGAACTTAATGTCCAGCTCTCTGCGGATCAGGGAGACACCGCCTTTGTTCTGAGTTTCCAATTACCTGTTAATCTGCGCCAGGGCTGAGCACTGACAATACAAGGGAGAAACAGTTTCATCTCCATAACAAAGGACAAAATTTGGGAGATTCTAGATAACTGTTTTCAAAGAAGTAAAATCGAGCCTCTGATGCGAAAGCAGCTTTAAAAAATAGACAAAGCGACAAAGCGCGGGGCATGCCGGTGACGGGGAAGATGCCAGGTGTGTGCGCCACGGACGTAAACCATGGCGGCACCTCTGGAAAAAGCAGAGGATGGCTACGGTCTCCTTCCAGCGATGGCCAGGCTGTGGGGGCCCTCGGGAGATCAACAGCGCACACGCAACAAAGATTTTTACCTCGGATGAATTCACGACCGACATGACAACTGGAACCAGCTCTGCAGCCTGACGACACTGGAAAGGTCACTCTGACGGCGCATTTAATGCAAAAGAACCCGCTGACCGTGAACTTGGGCACACAGGTCAGGTTAACACATGGGGCATTAGACACCAACGGACAAATCAGTCACTCAGGTGTCAACTGTTGCTGACACCCAACGCCTCCCAACCTGACCCCACCCACACCTCTACCCCTGCCCCAGTCCCCCACTCTTTCTATCCTCACCCTCCTTCTGAATGCCAGTGGTGGGACCTCCTATTCCAGAAACCCAGGAGATGTTCCTGATTCCTCTCTGGTCTGCACCTCCAGATCAGCCGAGGTTAATCTATGGCTTCAAATGCTTGAGTCCCCATCTGCATCCCCACCACCGCCCAGCAGACCCCCATCCTTTCTCACCTGGATTACTCCAGCAGCCTCTGCACTGAGCTCACCTGCATGTCTCTTAGACCCAAGCAACGTCAATCCCGTCCCGTCACCTGTGTCCCCTCCTGATCCAGTTACTCAAATGCCTGGGGGCTCAGGGCCTGCCTCTCCCTCAAGGGACACAGAGAAAAAGTGACTCTGGTCTGGACGCTACCTCCTTGTCAGGACACTACCTCCTTGTCAGGACACATCCTGCCTACCAAGGCCACCCTCGGCCCTGGCCCCAACCCCAAACACATATGCACCTGCACGCACACACAGACGCATTCCAGCAATGCCAAACCCCTCTCAGTAACGGTCTGGCATGTCAGGCTGTGGATGTCCCTGTGCTCCTGTGACTCCAGCTAACCGTCCCTTCCCTTCCTCACCTGCCAGCTGCAACCGCACTCGCTCTTCCCAACTGGGTCCAGGATTCACCTGTTCTGGCCTCCCTCCAGGTTGAGCTGACCATTGAGTATCCTAAACTGAACTCAGGGAGCTGGTGTGACTGCCCATGGAGCACAGCCCATGCTAATCGGCTGAACCCTGCTCCCTCCTGTCGAGCCTGTGTGTTGGCTGACCCCTGTTCCCTCCTGCCCAGGCTATGAGTCGACTGACCCCTGTTCCTTCCTGTCTAACCTGTGGGTCAGCTGATCCCTGTTCCCTCCTGCCCGGGCTGTGGGTCGACGGACCCCTGCTCCCTCCTGCCTGGGCGGTGGTCACAGCCTCTCCATCTTGCACTGCTTTCCTATAGGAGGGACAGACCAGCATGTACTTTACCTTATGACATTTCAGTAACTATCACTTTTTGATCCCCTGGTGTGACACCCCAAACACCGAGATGTCCAGATTCATCTGAAAACGTCCCTGAGTGTCTGGGCTGAGCCGGGTGGCTTAAGATACAGAAATCTTACAGGTGGACATAACGGCACCTCCAAGACCCCAATCAGAGTGGCCTGTCCCTCAGCTCCTGACGAGCAGTACGTACATTCGGTCAGGCAGGGGGTGGGACCTACGAAATCCCACAGTGGGAGCAGGCCTCTGTGGACAACATAAGCCGCGGTTCAAGCATCTGTCCAGGAAGCTCCCAGGGTTCCTTCGGGCCAGCGCCGGCTCTCCTCAGGTTTTCTCAGCCCCCAGAGGCCCTGACCCCTAGTGGGGGCACGTTCAAGCACAGGGACACTAGACACATCTTCTTCCAAGATGTCTGCCCAACCCCACGCATGTGGCCCCATCCCAAGACCCAGCTGACTGGCTCCCAGCTCCACACTGTGTATGATCTGCAACATGAGAACAAGGGCGTGTATCTAGTTCTTACTTGAAGCTCCGTAAGTGTTGGTAGAACCGCAGTGAACAGAATGTCCCAGAAACAGAACGCTCCTAGTGACGTAATCCAACGTAAGTAGGGTTGGGTTTGCACCTCGGGGAGAATGGTGGCGGCTGCCATGACCGAGGGCTTGCTCTGCACCCCGGGCACCGTGAACACGCTGCCTTGTTAGAACACAGCCAAGACCCGGAGAGGGCGGACGGCACCCACATCTGCAGGGTTGTAAGCGGCACAGCTCTGGTCGGCTGGGGACCGACCTGTATGAAACGCCTCCCTCCACCGGTAAGGCTCACGGCCAAGCTCAAATCTAAAAGGAAGACAGTGAGCGAAGCTACGCTCCTGCCTGGTCGAGGAGCTGTGGCCTTTCCGCACCACGTGAGGCTGACAACCGCGAATGCCAGGACACCAGGGAA